AAAGAAAATATATTTTACCCACAAAAAAGAAAACAATATCCGTAAAATTGTCCGTGTATTTATGTTTTAACAGCTTCTGGCGGAAAAACATCACACATTGCGTGACTCAAAGTTTGGCCGAGCGGAGGTCTGCGTCTGGTCACCGACAAAAAAAAAAAAATAAACCATGGGTAAACCTAGAACCGCGCTTGGCCCATGGCCGCGCGGTTAATTATTACCATTTACAGTAAGGAGAGGAGCGGCTTCCATAGTGAAAGAAATTTTGCCTTTTGGCCTTTAGAATATAAAATTGATTTTTGCACAATTAACTTGTCTTTAACAAATTCAAGAAAGTGAACAAAGCTTGGGGGTTTAAATTTGATCCTTTGTAGGAAGATGTGTCTCTTGCCAAGAAGGATGTAATAATTAAGGATATACATGTTAGGATTATACGCAAGTCATCAATTAGCAAACATTCACCACTGTGATTTTTCCACCAGCTTATTACTTCAAACCAAAACTTTTGAATTACAATACAGTTGGCTAGCATATGGGATAGTGTTTGTAACAAATCACAATGTATGCAAAGAGGAGAGTTTATGATCTTCATTTTGTGATTGATTGATTGGTTGACTGACTGACTGATTGGTACATGTTGGTATAAACTACATGGTATAGAGTATGTGAAACTCTGCACTTGTTCAGGATTGAACGCTAACGAGATGCATACTCCTCATGAGGAGCCTCACAAAATGTCATTTTCATATTACTTCATATTTGACATTAATACATGTATGTGTGTTTTGGTGACTTTTTAACAAATGAGGACACCTAATGGTGCATATCATAAAGAGCGTGCATCTCATTAGCTTGCGGTCTAGAACATACAGGTGTATCTGGTGAAACTGACCTTGTCAGCCTGCCTCATGTAACAGAACAGGATTCCTCGCATACATTTCACAACAGACTGCTGAAGTTCATATGCTCGGCCTTTGCTGTCGTCAATATGTCTGCAAATGAAAGCATATTTTAATATGCAATTACCCTACACTATACATTTCTTTTACATAAAATAATGAGTCATGCCCCTTTTCAGAATTTATTCTTAGCAGGACCTCATACAGGTCCAAGTATACAGGTAACCTTAGCGTTAGCAAATTAACTGTCACAATGGATATTGACAATTTCTTTCAAGGGACCTATGGATACTTTTATAATGTACTGAGTTATTATAATTAGAAATTAAAATATAGCATTATCTACTCAGACTGATGTTTATGTTAATACCAAATGAAATGACTGTCACTGAATATTATGTACATGTAAGACTTCCAGACATCATTAACACATCCATGACAACCTACTTTGTCCGGCCTTGAGGAGACTAGAATTCCTGTAAACCTCTATCTCGGTCCATAATACTGACACTCAGTGATACTCTGTCTGTTTGGTGTCCAAAATTTGAATAGGTTTCATTGCATTAATAATTAGAAAACAACCCTAAGAAAATATACGTGGTGATTGGTTAAAAATCGTGTTTCTATAACTCAATAGAAACACAGAGCTAGCATGAGCTGTTGACGTAATCATGGCGTGAGCAAAGAGAATTTACATTTTGATGATCAAAATAAACATTAAGTTGTTTCTCTTTTTTTCATTGCAGAGTCTTCTAAAAGAAATAGAAAACATGTACTGTGTTTCTGTCGAGTTATAGAGGCGCTCGTGAAAGTTTGGGAGAACTCGAAAAAGCTGTGGAAACACTTGCCTACGGCTCGTGTTCCCACAGCACTTCTCGTTCTCCCAAACTTCCACTCATGTTTCTATAACTCGATAGAAACATGGTACATGTTTTCTACATATATTTCTTAAATATTACTACTCTTCCTATATAGAAGATGCTTGTCTATCATATATTACATGTACAAGTGCTTCCCATAACTACTACCTACGGTCTTCTAAAAATGTAATGAGACACTAAATGTCTAACCTCTCAAGTAAATGTTCATGTATATACATATAATGCTGACCACAAGAGCATGCCTTTCACTCACTAGAAGTTTGCATCTCCCATGTGGGTTTCATTTTGTAGTGCTGAAGTACTATGAGAGTGACCAAAGCCACTGACATTTACTCTTTATAAATGACAGTTACAAACCTGTAAGCCAGTGCCAGAGCCCACACACCCATGGCACAATAAATGCTGTCTCGAACGTGACTTTCTTCATTTTGTACATTATTTGTGTACAAAGGAAACAGACCAATACTTCCACTTTGATACTGAAGAATTTGTTTCTTCACTGCATCCAAAAGAAAATAAATAATAAGATTAAATGATTAAGAAATAAATAACCTCAAAGGACAACAGAAGGCTAGAAATAATATAAGACAAGCAGTGTAGAGATTTCTAGAAAACAGAAAAAGAGAAATTTTCCTTCCAAAGTATTCTGAAGAAAACAGCCAAAACCCATGGTCATTTTTCAGAATTGAATGGCATTTTGAACATTTCCACTGGTTACTTTCAATATCAGCTACTGTGGCAATATATGTTGTCACCACATCAATACAATTTTCCATGTTTGGTTATTTCCTGCGGCAGTTCACAGAAACATAACTAATTCTTTCGTATTGATGTCTGTGTAAAAAAATGACGGAGTTGGATAGATTTCCATGAACCTCCATAGAAGATAGCAAAACAGAGAAGACTGCATGTGTGCAGTGGTGTCACAACATAGCAGCTGACATTCCTTTTTTGGAAGGACAGAGTAGAAAAGATCTTCAAAAGTTAGAAAAATTTTCCCAGGTTTTGGCTGCTTTCATCAATTTTGCTGAGACAAAATTCTTCTTTTTCTTCCTGTTGTTTACAAATCTTAGAAATTTCTATAATTTTCAGCAGTTATATAAAACAAGTGTGACCTCTAGCTTCCTGTTTGGCATGCGTGCAAGTGAAGCAAGAATCATCTCAGTAGTGGAGGCAATTAAATGGTAGATAGATAGAAGCCTTGCAACACCATTGTCAAGTCAACTTTTTACAATAACTGCAGAAGTTCTTGTGCACTCATTGACTAATTTTTATTGTCGATAAGCAGACAGACACATGAATTTATAATTTATGTGATGAGTCAATCAGCGAGGGCAGACCATTTGACAATTTGTTATCATTTGTCAGTTTTTCATGCGTCTGTCCTGTTATTGACAATGAGTTTCGTCATGACATTGTCAAAGTAGTCTGTGGATCCTCTCGGTTATCGCCTCGTGGATCCACAGCTACTTTGACAATGTTAAGACGAAATTCATGATCAGTAACAGGACAGACGCATGAAAAACTGACATCAATTTGTTAACTCTACATGTAACTATACATGCAAGTCATGATGGCTGATCCTGATAGAGACAATCGTTTCGGTATGGGTCCTACAAAAACAGCCTGACAAATTCAAAAGAGATCTGATGTCCTTAACCGTGTGCTCAGCCATGAGCGTTCTATATCCAGCTGACTGCCCAGCTCTGCGGAGCTTAAGAGATGCCCTTGTATGACGACGAGTATCACTCACATGAACGATCAGTCAGTGGTTCCAGCTGGTTCGGCCTTCGGAATCGAATTCTTGTCACAAATTCAGGTCAAGTTTCCGCGCAGGCCTATGTTAATGCACTAGCTGTACACTTCACGTTTACTTCTTATCACTTACCTCGTCGATAGTAGACATCCAGATAATCCCTCCTGTCCTCTTCATCCATCTTTTGTATCAACTCTTTCGACCGTGGCACGTCCGCCATGTTTGTTTTTTTCATGCTCGTATGGTAATCTGGGTACTACATTGAGGAGACTTATGCACCTCACCCCTCGCCAAAGAGTACGAGACGAAAACTTGTAATTTATGGAATACTGGACAGGACTTTTCTTCTGAAGTCCGTATGTACGCTCTATAGTCTACAATGAGCCCACTTCAGATACGAGGTGATAAACAACAAACGAGTCGCGTAGCACTGAGTTTATTATCCAACAAAGACGAATGAAATAATTGTTTTATAAACTCTTTATCGACTATAGGATATGGTCATTTCAGTTTGATTTAAACAGAGCGATGGTATGAAAACTCCGTAAAAACTAAAATCTCAATCCAAGATTTTTCGTCTTACCTTAGCACCAGAACAAAAGCTGACAACCTGTTCTGGTGCTGAGGTAAACACGAAAAATCTTAAATTAAGATTTTAGTTTTTACGGAGAAGGCAGGAAAATGTATCGCGCGTTGCTGAAATGAAGCTTGCTCAGGAAAGCAAGTGAGTCAGAGTTTTTTTCCGAAATATTCTTGGAAAAATCACCTCCAAATTTGCCTACGTTCAGGAAAAATGAGAAAGATGATTTAAAGGTTTATGGGAAGACCCGAAGAAGTGTCATTGCTGAAAATTGTACTCTTTGTTAAGTCAAATGAATCAAGGGTTTACTTGTTTACGCGGCTGTCGTCAAGACTACGGATTACTACGATTATCTGTTGAGTGAGGCGTGACGGAGCTTCGGTGATGAAGTTTTGGACTTAATACGGTTGTTGCCACGGGCAACTTTCCTCGTTTCTTAATGGTGCCAATAACCAGTCCGAACTGATAACGCCGTCGTTTTGCTTCTAATGATGTCAAAGGCCGCGGGCAAGTTGCTACTGGAAACAGAACCAGTTGCCAGTGACAACAACACGACTTTCACGTTAAAACCTGGTCACCAAACTTTCGTCGGGCCTTTCTCAGCTGATAATCGTAGTATGTTTCTCAGAATATATCGAGTTCTGAAATATAAAAGAACAAGACCCGACTGTAAGGTAACAAACTTGACAGGAGTGCTAAGCTTCTTTTTATACTAAAATTCTGTTTTCACTAACTGATCTGCAACGGTGATGTGTCGGGTTTTGGATCATTCCATTAATGTTTAGGAGCGGATTCAGGATTTTTTTTTCCATGCCTCAAAAAGTCGATACGCAAAGGAATTCTCCCCGTCCAGTCTGTTAGTTGCAAAAAATTTATTCTTCACTTTTGAAATTGAGATAGCCCTAACACTGATTAATAAGCCTAACTTAATAGACGTGCCCGGGTGGGAATTCCAGGGAATTGTTTTCACCTCTCTTATGGGAATAGTCGATGCGCAAAGGAATTCTCCCCGTCCAGTCTGTGAAAGGCGAGGAATTTAACCTTCAGTTTTGAAATTGAGATAACCCTAACCCTAACCATAATTAATAAGCCTAACTTAAAAGATGTGTGCGCGTGGAAATTCCAGGGCTCTTTTCGCACCTTTTCCGTGGGAATAGTCGATGCGCAAAGAAATTCTCCCATTGTAGTCTGTCAGTGGCGAGAAATATAACCTTCACTTTTGAAATTGTGATAATCCGAAACCTAACCCTAATTAATAAGCCTAACTTTAAAGACGCGTGCGCGTGTGAATTCCAGGGCATTTTTCTCACCTTTCCCGTGGGAATAGTCGATGCGCAAAGGCATTCTCCCAGTCCAGTCTGTAAGTGGCAAGAAATTTAACCTTCACTTTTGAAATTGAGATAAACCTAACTAATCAGCCTAACTTAATAGACAGGTGCACCTGGGAATTCCAGAGCATTTTTGTCACCCTTCGCATGGGAATAGTCGAAGCAGAGAGGAATTCTCCCTGTCCAGCCTCTCAGTGGCGAGAAATTTAACCTTCACTTTAAAAATTGAGATACTCCCCCCGAACCCTAACCCTAATTCATAAGCCTAACTTAAAAGACGTGTGCACGTGGGAATTCCAAGGCATTTCTCTCACCTTTCGGATGGAAATAGTCGATGGGGAAAGGAATTCTACCTGTCCAGTCTGTCAGTTGCTAGAAATTTAACCTTCACTTTTAAAATTGAGATAACCCTAAGGCCCCGGCCAAGCGATCGCAACAGTTCAACGCAAGATATCGCAACATTGTTGGCCCAGTATTTGCAAGCCCTGGCCAAACGATCGCAACATTTCGACGCAACATGTCGCAACATTGTTGGGCGCAACATGTTGCGTGTGTTTGGCCACCCTGTTACGACGTTTTAAATCGTATATTTTCATCAACATCATCATATTTTAGGCCACCACTGCATCTTAACTTAAATTTAGATATTTCCTTTGGGGATTGACTATTCCATGGTATACGAGGCATATGCAAAATGATTGTAAATTGCATGTGCCTTTTGTTGGGGTAGAAATACAGACATCGTAGCGCGTACTGCGAAATTGCTTATTTTAATTTACACGCTTTTAACTTAAATTCCCTCACCATCCTTTTACTGACTTACTGTTTACTGAAACATTTGTCCCTGTTTTTTCTAATCTTTGGGAAGCCTGCCTAAATGGGTGTGTGGTTGTAATTGTGATTGTTGCTTGATTTGATGGTCTTGTAAACCATAAGTGTCACCAATAGCGTCTGAGCCTGGCAGGTCGAAAGCATGCATTGGTAGGCTAAGACGGCAGTCGGCTTTTTCCCTAACATCCTAACTTTTACGCAAATTGGGGAGAGAAACGAGTAGGCATCGGGAATGAGTCGAGACATGGAAGTAACGACTACAAAGGTTTCTTTGTTATTCAAATCCCGTTTACGACAAACGGCACCTACTGATTACAGGATTACCTGTCAACTTCGGGTGTCTGGAAAACCCGAATAGTGAATAGCGAATAGTCGCGAATAGCGAATAGCGAATAGTCCCGAATAGTGCGAATAGTCTCGAATAGTGCGAATAGTGGCGAACAATCGCGAAAAGTGGCGAATAGTGACGAATAGTCGTCAATAGTCACCGCTTTAGATCTAACATCCAGCCTTAATTAATTATCCAAATAAGCAACAGAATTTCAGTAAATTTATTACCTTTTCTTCTCCGGACTCAGGCTAGTGGGCTGTCCGACATTAAGAAAACAGAAAACACAAGGATAACCTAATAAAGACGTATTTATATTTACGCTTTTGCAGCGGTTAAAACAGAAGAAATTACGTGTAGAAACAACTTTTTGTCCTGATAAGCGTCTGTGCTTTTTAGCGGGAAAATCCCATCCTAAGTTGCTACGAGGTTGACTGCGAGATACTGGGTACCCTATTTGCTACTGTTTACCACAATTTGCCACTATTTGCCACTATTCGCCACTTTTCGAGACTGTTCGCCACTATTCGCATTATTCGTACTATTCGCTATTCGGAACTATTCACTGTTCGCTATTCGCGACTATTCGCTATTCGCTATTCGGGTTTTCCAGACACCCGTCAACTTCCAACATATTCATCAGACTCACGTCTTTAGTGTCGAGCGTTCTCGGGGTCGTGGGGGATAGGGAAGATATTTCGAGTGACCACGAATGAGATTACATCAATATACGTCAGTGGTGTTATTACGAAGTCATTATAAGTGTTCTTAGTTAGTCATTATGAGCCGGCAATGAATGTAATCTCACTTGTGGTCACTCGCAGGCATTCGTGGTTACTCGTGGTCATTCGTGGTTACTCGTGGTCATTCGTGGTAACTCGTGGTCATTTGTAGTTACTCGTAGTCATCTGTGGTTACTCGTGGTCATTCCTAGTTACTCGTTGACCTCGTTGTCATTCGTGGTTACTCGTGATCACTCGTGGTCACTTGTGAGTGTGCAAGGAATAGCTAGGTGGGAAAATTAACGAGTGAGAATCACAAGGAGCTATTTAAAATCGCTTTCCAAATGGAAAGGATATTTTTTGCTGCGCTGCCAACCCAGTTTTGAGAAGTCTTCTTTCCAAAAGCGTTGTCTTCGCCAAAGAAAACATCCACAAATCAATTACACAGCAATAACGATATCACTTTGCGAACTGGGCAGAACTATCGATCAAATCGGTGTTAAAGGCGGAAAATCGAAAGCTCAAAAACGCCTGCGGTCTGTCTTTGTATCTCCGCGTGCGGACTTCTCAGGTTGTTCTTCTTTTGCCTTGCATTCGCGTGTTCGCGTCGTACGGCACGTTAGGAGCAAAGAGACTGCTCGCAGTTGACTCACCTAGTTTAGGGGCTTTAGGGTAATGATGGGGTTACACAGGACATCACCAATCTGATGAACGTCGTGGACAAAATATTTCAGAGGGTTCAGCTATATTCTGTCTGCAAAAGGCTTTCATTGCTCTAAACACAACGTGGAGAGGTTTCAATCTCGTTTGTCATTTCGTACTCCTTGTAGAGTAGGTGCTATACCTGTGAAGGTGGGTGCAATGAGAGGCGACCAACCTCCGGGGGAGGGACTCCCCCCGGGGACTCCCCCATAAAAGGTCGGGGATGCTCGTGGGATAATTTGAATTAGACCCCTAAAGAACCACCAATCTGGGCGTGGCTCGTGCTTTATATGACCCCTAAAACATACCACCAGAAGCATATCACCTGATACCACTTAAAACAGAAAAGGCTCGACTACCAGCCGCTGTTTAGGAACGGAGCCCGCGCTAGTCTAACAGACTCAATAGGCCGTAAGAAATCGAGCCTCAAAATGGAAATAAGAGCACTTTTTATTATTATTCCTATGAGTGCACCTTAAAAGATACTTTGACGCCTAAAACTAGTGGGGTTTCGTCACGAACACCCTACGTGAAACCAGAAGCCTTGATTTATACCCCTAAGTGAGACGAGTGGCATCCCCGACATTTTCATATGCGAGTCTCCCCCTCCGGGTAACCACTTTCAGTTTTCTGTTACAGTTCATTCTCTATGAAAGTCCTCTGAGTACAAGTTTCCCTTCCTAGCGTAATTATCTGACACACCCATCTTCAAACAGTAGAGAGGTAATAAATATTAAATGAATCATGTTGATCTGAAAGAAAACAAATGCACCGACAGAATCTCCTGACTTGTTTATTTTCTTTAACCATGATGTGAAAATTAAAAAGTAAGATTTTCACAACTTTATCGAGTAGTTTATTCTACTTTTTGAAATCCCTTACGTCACCAAGCTACTAGAGTCTGTCATAAGTTGGTGACTTAATATTACGTCAATTTTATGCAATTATGAAGCTTGGAAAGGGAGTAAAAGAGAGAGAGCTTGGGATCGAGGTCATTGATGGAATGGCAAGAGTGAATTCAATGGCACCATCAAGTAATCAAGGTTTTTTGCTAGAAAAGCCTAGTGAAAACACCTAAAAGATCATAAAACTAGGCTGGGTTGATGAAACATCATCAACCATTTGATCAACCATCAACTGTTGATGAAACATCACCACCATCTATTAATGACAGATTTACTGTCACATGTGCTTTGGTGCTGCATTGTTCATTGACGAAAAAAAAAAAGAGGTTTCTTATTGTACGGTTAGATGATGACAAAAATCCCGACTATTTGTTGCTTGGTAGGTTAATTACCAATGGTGACTTTCCTCTATGTTCAAGCTGATACAGAGCAACACAAACACTTCCAGCAGTGATAGCAATTTGTGCCTTCCACTTGATTGAACTAAACTACTCAGCCTGGAAATGGAATTCATTCACATCTATAAAAAATTCAAATAGGAAAAAAATTATGTGGGTACTGTTTTAGTGTGTATTATTGACACACAAATTTGCAAGTGGGAACTTTGGAGAACTTCTTTACTTTTTACTACTTGAAATCTATACTAATTCTTCCTGTCTTTTTCTACATAGATGCAGTGCACTCTTAAAAATCATCAAAACGTAGTCTTAAAATTGCACGGAACCATTTGGGAGTATGGTCTCCAGCTGTGTAGTGTGAATTATTGGACAAGTTTGATAAACAATTCAGTATTGTTTATAAAATACCAACCTAACTTGTAAATTGCTTGTATTTACTTCCATCTGTTATACAAACCACTAGCACCTCCCCAATTTTAGTGTCATCCTCAACAAGCTCAACAACCTCCCTTTGCAACATCAGAGACACTGTTGGAAAGGGAAAAAATATGTCAGCCATATTTAACAACCAGCCTCTTGGCTAGGCATGTTCTGCCTGTCTTTCAGGAAGTCAGTCTTAGACTGAGTCGATGGGTTTGCAGTGAGGAGGTGATTGGTCAGTGGTTATTGCACCTGACCATTATCTGGGAGGTCATAGGTTTGAGTCCTGTTAAGGACTCAGTTTTTCTTTGTCCCATGCTTGCAACACACTGCACATTTCACCTATTACATTCTTCTTACTTACGGCTGCTTGGGGAGGCTATCTTGAGCTTCAATTTCTTCCTTTCTTAGTCTATGTCTGGGGAAGTCCATTTCGGTGTCTGTTGTTCCAGGACAGATGCAGTTCACACAGATTCCTTTATCTCTAAATGCAGCCTTTATAAATTTAACAAAGAAAGCTCCTATTAATCAGATTTTCTTGAAAATGAATTGTCCATGGGGACACTGGGCAATTTTTACTGGAAATGGACCAGTTACATAAATTATGGTGGTTGAAACATTCTTATTTATACATGTAATTCCACAAGTGCATGACTTGATTTTGCCAGAGAGTAGAATACTGTAAACTGCAGCTTATAATCCCTGGGCTTAAGGGCCCATTAACCGATCTTTTCAAGCCGTTGCTAAGGAAAATTTATTCTCATGTAACTTCATCATTCTTAGTTAGTTCAGAGTTATTTCATGAGTCTTTTTCATGATCAGTAACACTGGTGATGATGTCATCAGGCCACACCCATGGTCATGTGACTAATACAGAAAAAATGCAAAGGCTCCCAGGCAAATTACTTTAACAGGATTTTTTTCATTGATTTAATATTTTAATTTAAATCCTCATTACGCTATGCATTGATTTTGTTTCATTTCTAAAAGGTCAGATTTTGAAAGAATTTCAAAATATTGACAAATTCATAATTTTCTGAAAAAAGCATGATTTCAGAAAAGGAATGCATAACTATGTTTCCAACCTTGGCTTTAATCGAAATTCATTGAAAAAGGCTGGATTTAATGAAAAAGCACGTTTCCTTTAGCATTTAAAGAAACCGGAAGTGCACCCAATATCTATTGGAAGTTACTCTATCAGCGCGTGCGCAATTTACACCACCAGGGCACTTCGGTAGGATCAAACAAAGCCACATGGAGGTAGTTTTTCTCTTTCTATTGCTCTTGTTTTTCTGTCTTTCTCTTATTTTGAATTTGCTTGTACTTTTGTTACTTTGCATTTTGTGAAACACAAAGAAAAACATCTAAAATGTAAGCGAATTTGCAAGTTGTTTTTATTTTCTGCACTCAGGCTGATGGAAGTAACTAAAGGTGAAATTTCACCTCCTTAGCAACACGCACGAGCGCGTGCATGAATTGTTTAATGGGCCCTTAAACAGATTTGTAAGGGGTTTTGGATGGGCTTATTAACTTTCGACTCGGACAAGGGAGGGCAGCATGCTTATAAGCAGAATAAAAGAAAAAAAAAACATTTCAAAATGAGCTACAGGAGCATAAATAGAAATAAGCTTTAAAAAAATAATAAACCAAATTCACTCCATTTTAAACTACAGGGGTGCTTATTTCCAGGAGGACTTATAATCAGAAGTAGTATTTTGTTTACAGGTAGATCAGCCTATAACTGGGGGGCTTAGGCAGAAGGGCTTACAAGTGGCAGTTTACAGCCATGATAAAAAAGATATAACAAGAAATCACTGACAAAATAATAGTGTCACATAGCTCATATCTCCTTTAACTAAATATGCAGGGATCATAAACCACACTATACTTTTTTAGAAAATAGCCCAAATAAAATACCAATGCTGATTGGTTTAAAATTATAGTGTTTCCATAACTTGATAGAAAACAGAACTCAGGGCATGACAAAAAGGCTGTCCGATAGTCTGGAACTAGTGAAATGATCAGTCGGGCTAGTGCCAGGCTTCTTATCACAGGTTACCCGATGGGCAAGCATGAAGTGGACACGATTGAAACACTGTTGGTTGTTTCTCTCTTTTTTCATGGCAAACTTCAGATATGGTGTTTAGCAGACAGTTCGTGAGAGAATGTGAAACAAGGCAAATCTTTTTCTAAGATGAAGTAAAATGTAAAATTTAAGTGACCGAAATCAATTAAAATGGTAATTTTTTTCCAGATTATAGTACCTAGGAGAAATAAATAACTTAGGTCTTGTTATTTATGGATATGAAATTTCCAAGGGGCAGGGGGACTCAAGTAGAAAAATCATGGAAATTCCAGGGGATGGGGGAAGTACAGAGAAGCCCCTTGGAATGGAAAATACTGGGGGGTGGGGGTCAAACTGGAAAAAAACCCTCCATGGGAGAGGGTATGAATATTTTTTGGAACCACACATAGAGTGCTTCTAAATGATTTATTGTGTAAGGTTTACAGCAATTCAAAAGGGAAATCAAAGAGAATTAGTTCATCTAAGCACATTATTAATAAACATTATTTTTGCATATTAAATTACATTAATTATCCTAATTAAATAAAATAATTTCAGGCTAGCTCATAAGGCTAATAAGATGAAATTACAGCTTGCCTGAAGGGCAAGTTGAGTTTTTGAATTTCATCTCACCCTGAGAACTAGCAAAGGCTGTTGATGCAATGATGGCATGAGCAAAAGAGAATTTTCCTTTTTGATGATCAAAGTAAACAAGTTGTTTTCTTTTCTCATTGGGGTATTTTCTATCCAGCTATTTATAGAAACATGTATTCACAGTCAAAAAAAGCTGTGGAAACACTCACCTGTGCGCTCATGTTCCCACAGCATTGCCCATTCTCTTAAACTTCCATAACTTACTAATATCTTAAGTACAAAACAATCTTACCAGGTTGGTATTGACTGTTTTATTCCAGTTGTCTTCATCAAGAACAGCAGCATTATTGCAAACAATGTCAATCTGACCCCACAAGGAAATAGCTTTTGTGAATGCCTCTAATAAAAGAAAAGACACTTAAGTACTACATGACTATGCTGAATAAGAATTTGATGACAAAAACTACCTCCAGATAAAATTCAACCTCTTTGAAGCCAGTAGTCTCCGTCAATGTTCTGGCTTCTCTGAAGTCATGATATAGAGTTACGACAAAAGGAATTGATAAAATTTAACATAATTATAGTAAAATTTCAGTTTTAAGTAAAATGTCAATTTTATGTAATGCTATTAATTTCAATTGGGAATGCCATCTTTGCTTTATAATGACCCCAGATAGAACTGCTGAATAAAATGGGTCAAGATTGTAAACATTTTAATTTGGATCACTCTCATTTTGTTCACTGCTATTAGGATTTTCTCAAATTGCCTATTATAAACGTTAAACATAACTGACCTTTTAAATCACTCTCATCCGACACATCACATCTGATGAACTTTATGCATTCAGTTCCATATTTCTCTTCAAATGTATGTTCTACCTCCTTCCCTCTTTCCTCGTTTACATCAACCACAGCAACCTAAATTTCAATGAATGGGTTTACTGGACAGTAACCCGGTCAAATGGAAGATGACAGACTGTTATGTCATTCTCTCAGTGCTAAAGAAGCTTAAAATAATTTAATCTGCAATGTTTATTTACATTATTTAAACAGACACGTGTACATGTAATTTACATCAGCAACCTGTAAATTACATGAATTAATCAAGGAAGGTTGTAATTTTGCATGTATTCCACGAGGGAGAGATATGGAGTAATGAGGCAGTACAGTTCTAAATTACTGACTTTATCAATATATTTTGAATTTTAACGCCTATCATAGCTCAAGCTGTCATAGTTTTGACTCGCCTGTTGCCTTGATTTTCCAGCCATATTACAAACTCCTTACTTTGTAGATGAATGCCGTACCAACAACAGGTAAGTTCATAAGCAACACCTATCAAGCATTTAGTATCACTGACCCAACTAGTGGACTAATGAAAATCCTGCATTTTAATTGGCTATGCTACTAGAGGACTATTGGTAATAGTTCTCGAGTAGTGAAATTGGTGCAATCGAGCGTGACGCTTTCTTTCATTTTATTGCCAAATAATTTCTTCAACTTGCATTAGCTAACTTTATTATTGCCTTTTCTGTCCGCCTAGTTGGGTGATACTAAAACAATTAGACCCTTAGCCCTTGCGGTGTATGGGTCTAATTGTTAAATATACTCAGGGCCGTAAGAGGACTGCTATAACCCCTAATGACAGCCCATTATCATTAGACTCTAAGTTTACCAGTTAACTATTAAGTAATTTTTTGAATTACATTGTCTAACTAAGCCAGTCTTGATAGGTATCAAAAATTGTCATATGATAGTTAGGATAAATTGGGTGTTGTTGCAGTGTTATATTTATTCCCCGCTGTTTCATCAGTTTTGATGACACTGGGGCCAAGGCACAGCTGAAATGAGTAATACATTTTTGTAGTGGTGTACAGTCAGTCTCCGACTATAAACACGCCTAAATAAATCTTAATCAAATTTCAGTCCATTATACGAAATTTGGTCTCAAACCACGTGGGCTGTCCGGAATGTTTCCGGGGTGTCCATGTAAGTTTTGGTTGTTTACGTTGGAGGCCTTTAGATATGAGTATAAGGCACGTTTTAAAATAAAACTGAATACGATAACGTTTACCTTGGCACCCAGCTGTAGCAAAAGTTCGCAAATTCCACGTCCTATTCCAGAAGCTCCACCAGTAACCAACGCTATACAACCCGAAATTTTCATCACTAAGATCTTCCAAATTCTGATTTACACTACGGCACATTGGACTAGACAGCTGGCCGCGTGCTAAGGACTGGGAACCTACCTATTGCTGGTCCCCAGGGTCTTCTCGGAAATGATTTTCAAGATTGGCGGTTGAGTATGTGGGTTGCCGGTAAAGGTTGGCGCTTTGTATCCAAATGTATTTTTCTATTCCAACCAACCACTAGTAAGAAATATCAACAGCAAGACACGCTGAGACCTACTTAGGGACAAGATGGAACGAGTGCGCACAATTTACCAAGTTATGTTCCTAACTTTCACCTCTCCCTAGCCCTTGGGTGCAAGGTACTCTCTTATAATCCTTATACAGGGGCGGATCCAGGAATTTCTGAAAGGGGGGGTTGTACACTAATGTAGTAACCTTTAATGCCAATGGTGTGGAGGGCGAGTTACGGCCCCGTACCTCTGGCACGAGCTCTTAAGGGGTCCGGAGCCATGCCCCTCCCCCCAAAAAATAATGTTTCCGATTTTTCCCTCTAAAACGCCTTTTGCAGCATTCTCGAGACTTCAAAAGAGTTGTGAAGGCATGATATAAAATCTGGAATTTATCTTATTTCTCAGCCAGGAACCACGCCAAGTGCTAATAGAAGATTGCTTGGAAGTTCCTTCTCTGCTGACTGCCACATCGTTTGCCATCTTCGTAGCTCATTTCCAAGGGATTTGGGAAATGGAAGGTCATTTCCCCAGAACAGCATGCCTTCTGTTGCTTCAGATAGCTCCAGGGTGTTTTTAACTATGATTGAGGGTACTAGATAAAGCAAGTGACGGGCGTGGCGATCCTCGTCAGAAAATCGGTCTTGCATTTGACTAATCAGGGAATCAAGAAGGAGAATAGCCACAGATTTTTTGTAATGATCAATTGGACTAGAACTGGGAATGTTTGAGCGATTCCTCTGTATGCTTGTCTTTCTGGGAATAGCTTCAACGATTCCCAGTTTCTCAGCAAGGTCTAATATTTCTTTGTTCTGAACCACAAACTTACCTGATTTCTTCGTATAAAAATCTGTTATTTTCTTCATTTTTCGTCCAACGTTGAACACACTTCAACAATACTCAAACATTCGCTTGGCCCCAATCCCACTCGTTTACGTTTGAATGAATTTCACCTGTTCATGTCGCCTGTTATACCTGATCCTGTCTGATGACGCGATCCTGATACGACCTTCTTGCAAGTAATATCCTCCACAGCAGTCGCGAAACGTACATTATCTTTTCAAAACTTGAAAAGCAGTCGAATGGTGGAAGTGAAACAACTGTGTAAAAATCAATATTATTCTATCATTTGTAGGAAGAAAAAAAAAATGCTGCTCAAAGGGGGGGTTGCAACCCCCTCAAACCCCTCCCCTGGATCCGCCTCTGTTATATGGGCTATACTGGCATGTGTGGCCCCAAAGGATTTGATTTTTGAGCGGTTTTGGTCTAAAAAAGGTATAGATTGTGGCCATTTTGGTCTGAAATGGGGTATTTTTCACTCTGGCTTGACCGGTTGCTTTGTTTACAAGGTACTAGTTTTTGGGAGTATCGATTTTTCGCTCAGGTCTGAAATCGGGTATACAAAATTACAGATTTTGGTTTGAAATAGGTTAAGGTTCAAGCAGCACACTCCCACCAAAACGTTTGGGGAGTACCTCCCCGCCCCCCCCCCTCGACTCCTTCCCGGGCTTTCATCACTATGTTTCTACAGCTCAGAATTGGTTAAAAAGTAGAATGAGTGATCACCAGGCATATTGGAATAAAATTTTATTCGAGTCTTACCACGATCAAGTTAGGAACTTAAAAGCACAGTGGGCTATCCCAAAAATTAATTCACACACAATTGCCTGTTTTACTTAAAACATGCAATGAAAATTAAACCCGAACACCAAAGAAGGAAATTCACATATTTTTTACATTTCCGTGAATGATACTCTGACCTTCTGAAAGCTTCTGAACAACACTTACAGCTTTTTTGTGCTGTTTAACTTTTATCAGTTAGCCAACTTAATTATTAATGCCTTTCTTCTTTAAAAGGGTAATTCAAACACGTACATATATATCAACTTCATCTCAAGCGGAACTGACTTTCCTCGTCTAGATCCCATTGAACTATTCCTATAAACTGGTTACCTTTTGCTCCCATTTCATTTATTTTTATTTTTGCTAAATTAATGAAGGCAAGCACCCGTTTTACTTCCGTCTTCTTTATTGTTTTACAGATCACGTTGCCGCCGTCAAACGTCTCTTCAATCTCGTCTCGGCGAACATTTTAACATGTTCATGTATCAGATGCCGTATATGACAACGTACTCCAAGCAACTTGCAGGATCAAGAGAGGTCATATAACAATCTGAAAAGAGGACAGCAAGATATTTAAAACTCAACAAAGTCAGAGTACTGATCGGTCAATAGATGAATGAATGAACGAACGAACGAACGAACGAACGAACGAACGAACGAATGAAAGAATGAATTCAATCAATCAATCAATAAATCAATCAATCAATCAATCAGTCAGTCAGTCAGTAGGTCAGCCGTACATCAGTCGGTCAGACATTCAGTCAGTCGTAAGTCAGTCAGTCGTAAGTCAGTCAGTCGGTCAGCCAGCCAATGAATGAATGAATGAACGAATCAGTAATCAATCAATCAATCAATTAATCAATCAGTCAGTCAATCAATCAATCATTCAATCAATCAATCAATCCTTCAATCAATCAATCGATCAATCAATCCTTCAATCAATCAATCAATCAATCGATCAATCAATCATTCAATCAGTCAATCAATCAATCAATCAGACAGTCAGTCAGTCAATCAATCAATTTTCCTTTTTCCAGGATAGTGAACTTAGCTATGGATATATATTACAGGAAAAGCGGACCTCTCCGAACACTTTCCAGCTAGACTTTCCTAAAAATTTTGTCTTTCGTTATCCTTGGCCACTATTCCCACTCTTCGTTTCTGTAAATAAGTAGAAAAAGCGTGGATTCCGAAAACAGGGAAAACGCCAGAGGTCACGTTTTTGTCGGTAAAATATTAACTAGTTATTCGAGTAAGTTAAAATAAGAGAGTATGTCTGGCCGCGCTGAGTATTCTCAGATTAGTGTAGTTGGGAGGAACATTCACTTTCTTTAGAGTTCAAAATTTACGATCTCCCGCAGCAAGCCATAGCTACAATCCAACTATCCACCATTTTACAGTGAATAAAATGGCGTGATTTTTAAGGAGTAAGCCAAACCAGGAATCATTTTCTATGTCAGATCTGATTCATCCACTCGTCTGCTTACGTCATTGTAGTTGAGAAACTCCACACCATCTTCGTAAGTGACTTTCACCACCTGACCTACGTCACTCTCATCTCTAATCAAATCCAGGACACACTGAGCTACAGCTTCGGGTCTACAGCAACAAAATAAAAAGCTATCAATTTTATAGAAAGAGAATGTGAACAATTAACTCCTAAACTATGGCCGCCACCTGGTTAGCTTAGTTGGTAGAGCGCCGGACTGCTGTGCGGGAGGTCGAGGCCGGGTTCGAGTCCCAGAGCGAACCAAAACTCAAGGTCTTTAAATAACTGACGAGAATGTGCTACCTTTGAAATTAAATCTGCAAATGGTTAGAAGTTCAAGCCTTCTCAGATAAGGACTATAAATTGTAGGCCCCGTCTCTTGCATCTTCAGTGTTACATGGTTAGCAAGGGACGTTAAAGGACCCACACACTTATTGCAAAGAGTAGGGCAGGTAGTTCCCGTTGTTGTGGTCTGGCCTTGTCTCGGGTTGTCCAAGAAAAATTACTATGTTGGGTGAAGTGAAATCAATGTTCAAAGCGTTTGGCTGATGATTGACATGAAAAAATTCCCTAAATAAGAGCTTTGATGTTTTCTTTTGTAAAACGGGTAATTGTGAAAAAAATCAAGGGCTGTACAATATTCGGCTCCTTATTGTCTGTTTCCTGGAAATTCCACATTCAGAACAATATTGCCAAGGGGTAATTACATATCCTTTCAAATGTAGCTTGTAGCACAAAATATGTAATTTTTCACGTTGTTATTGTAAGATAGTTGTGTATTAGTATGTAGATTCGTTGGTATGCAGGTTACGTAGTCACGCTTCGAAGTGAATATTTAAGGAGTTTGTCCGCTTGGAGTTGTTACTCGATGGCATCTCTGCCGGCTTTTGATCATTACATTCTAGAAATTTTGTTTTGTAAAGTTTCTGTGTTTTGTTTAGTACATGTGTTGTATTAATTGCTATCCTAGGGCCGTTTGTGTTTGTTGTAATCACTGGAAAAGTTGAAAATTTACAGAGTATGTAAACAACATGTAATTAACATGTAAATAATCAAAAAGAGACTGTAAAGATTAATTTACATGATTTTTCCCCTTTTACATGTTTTGGAGATTTCATGTAAAAAACATGTAAATATTTCAAGTGAAACATGTAAATGATGAAGAAAACACTGTAAATGTTTCAACGCAAAGGGCTAAGATCATGTAAATAACATGTAAACTGTTCCTGCAAATACTGTAAATAGCCTGTAAATAGCCTGTAAATTTCTTGTGATTCAACCTGGAAACCCGTAAATAACATGTAAATTTAATACAGGGAGG